AAAAAAAAAAATTCCTTCTTCACCGACTCCATCCACACCTATGGGAACCCCTGGACCTTCTGGGGCTGGACCTCAACACCCTTGGCCAGAATCGAACCTGGGACCCTTCAGTCCACAGGCTGACGCTCTATCCACTGAGCCAAGCCGGCTAGGGCAGAGGCCTGCCTTTCTTTAAGACGGTCTGCCTTGCTCACATCTCCCGACAATATTCTGCTTCTATCCTACCTGCCACACGTCTCCATCTCTGATTTCCGGCTCATTTCATCAAAAACAACAGATATGAGCTGCTCAACTGAGAAACTGGGTACTGGGTGGGGGGGACTCCCACTCTCTTTACATTTTCTGATCAACCCTATCTGCTCTGGAAGGAAAAAAGAATTTGACTCTGGAATTATTAAACTACAAAATCTCAGTTGGTTTTATGTTTATAAGAGTAATAGTACCTACCTGGTAGAATTGATATGAGAATTAAAGGAGATAATACATGCAGACTGCTTGGAACAGTGCCTGGCACATAGTAAGAATAGTAGTAGTAGTAGTACTGTTAGAGAGGAAGGGCAGTAAGTAGAGAAAAGACATAATTACTCCTTAAGGACCTCTTGCTTAAAGGAACTCATAAGCATAACCTCAATTATACATATACTAGAGGCCTGATGCACAAAATTCGTGTAAGGGGCTCAGTCTTTCCAGTCCCAGCTGTCTTGGCACTTGTGGCCCTGGTTGCCTCATGACCCCACCCATTTGTCTTTATGGAAGGTTGTTCTGCTGTCCAGTCTAATTAGCATATTAGCTCTTTATTATATAGGATTAGTCTACCATTCTCAGCACAGCCGTGGGTGAACCTGAGGGGGTGGCAGTGAGAGATTAGAAAAGACAGACAAGAGAATAAAACTGAGTTTGGGTGGGACACTGCTCTCTCTGATGGAGAGATAGCACCACAGCCTGCAAGCCGAGTCTTTATTTCATAGCCAGATTCCATGAGGCAAAGTAAGGGCGTGGTCAAGATGTTTACAACATTCTCTCGGGTTATAATTGTGCTGAGAGGGCTTTGCCCTCCAAGCTAGGAATTGCATGTGGCTTTGCCACGAGGGGACCATGCACTCTCATTAGTCAGAAGTTTGAACCTGTCCAAACACTGTAGCCACTCTCCACAGTTTAGAACCTTGTATTTCTTTTTTTAAAAAGAAATGAATTGAGACTCAGAAATTTTTCATGACTAAAAAATACTGACTCAAATTTATTAAAAACTAATTATTTTACATGCACTTTAACAAACCATATACCTGTCACTTATAACAATAAAAGCGTAGTATGCTAATTAGACTGGAAAGCCAAAATGACCTTCCAGACGACCTTCTGGATAACCTTCCAGACGAAGCTGGGGCTGCGAGGGCTGAGGCAAGCTGCCTAGGCTGTGAGGGGCTGTGGAGGCCGCCTGAATCAGCCAGGCCTGCAAGAGCCAAGAACCTTGCACAAATTTTGTTCATTGGGCCTCTAGTATAATATAAATATTATGTGGAAAGTACCATTATTGAATCAGAGGAGATTCAAAATGGCAGCAAAGTAAGTAGATGCTACACAGACACCCTCCCAGGAACAAACTGGAATTAGAAATAAAATACAGAAAAAATGCCCCAATAATCAATTGAAGACTTGCTAGAGAGAACCCTAAAATGGAGGACCAAAGGTGGAGACTGCATAGAGACTGGATGGAGGGGCAGGGGGGGAAGGGGCTGGCTGGGCATCCACAGACAGCAAGATGTTCCAGAGAGATATCTCTGCTGTGGGTTATGCCACGGAGAACTCTGGGGTCTAATCTCCAAGCGCACCCCCCACCCCACCCCCAAGTAAAGAGCACCAGAAATAAGAAGGGTACCCACATAACATCTGGGTGAAAAGCACTGGGGTTGCTGTCTGCCAGGGGGACATGCTGGAAATTCAGGCACCCTCTTAAAGGGCCAACACACAAAGTTCCCTGTGGAGCCACCCACTTTATGCTCAGGCAGAGGGATGGCAGATGGACTGGAGCTGTGGGAGCAGAAGCCAGGATCAGGGGCTCTGGTATTAGAGCTCAGAAGGCAGACACCATGGTTTCCTGTGCTGGGTCAGTCCCCTACGCAACAGAAGACATCTTTCCTACACAGACATTTGCTATGCAGCAGGCTTTGCCTGGGGGGAAGACAGTTGACCCACCCTATTGGAAAACACGTTGCCCCACAGTGCTGAGTTCCTGAGGTCACTTAAGACACTAAAAATAACAGCCTCCAGGTAGAAGCCACTGCCCCACCCTGTTGAAAAAAAAAGCTCTCGCCACACCTGAGGATGATAGCCTGAGGGCAATTCAAGTTGGAATCCTTTCAGTCTTCAGGCAGAGGAGGACTCTGGAAGCTTTAGGTCTTTGCCTGGTCTAAGTAGTCAGAAACAGCATTTGACTCTGTACTGCACAAGAGATTGAGAGGTGTAGCAGATCTACTTAATAAACAGTCACAAAACCAAACATACAACGAAAATGAGGAGACAAAGAAACAAACCCCAATGAAAGAACAAGAGAATTCTTCAAAAGAAGAGATAAATGAAACACAGATAAGAAATTTATCTGAAATAGAGTTCAGGGAAATGATGGAAAGATGCTCAACTGCATGAAAAAGAGATATGCTAACTCTGACTCTGAAAACAGAAGTAAAGAATGACATAGCACCAATAAATAACACATTGGAAGGAATACACAGCAGGTTAGGGAAAACTGAGCACCGAATCAGTGAATTAGAGGACAGAGTTGAAAAAAAAAAAATCACTCAATCAGAGAACCAAAAAGAAAAACAATTAAAAACAGGAAGACAGCTTATGGGAACAGTGGGGCAACATGAAACGTAACAATTTTCACATAATAGGTGTGCTGAAAGAGGCAGAAATGAGGAAGGGACAGAGAACATGTTTGAAAATGGCAGAAAACTTCCCTAACCTGACAAAGGAAAAAGCCACACAAGTCCAGGAGGCACAGAGATCACCAAGCAAGAATAACCCAAACAGGCTCATGACCAGACACATCATAATTAAAATGCCAAAAATTAAAGACCAACAGAGAATCTTAAAGGCAGCAAGAGAAAGGAAAACTGTTACCTACAAAGGAGCTCCCATAAGGCTGACACCTGATTTCTCATCAGAAACTCTACAGGCCAGACGGGAATGTCATGAAGTACTCAAGGTAATGGAAAGCTAGGATCTGAGACCAAGATCACTATATCCAGCAAAGGCTTTCATTCAAAATAGACAGTTAAATGAAGAGCTTCCCCAGTGGGGGCGAGGGGGGAAAGGCTGAAGGACCAAATCACCCCCAAGCGGTACATGTACATTTCCCTGTGAGTTTCTGCGTGTGCGCCCTCTTGCAAAGAGCTTTAGAGGCAATCTCTCTAAGAATGACTCCCAGGAGTGAGGGAGAAGGAGACAATATGTGCTTCTTTCCCCCTCCCCCAGGCTGAGCCCCTTCTGCCCCTGCTGCTCCCAACCTGTGATGTGCCCCTGGGGGGTCTGATCTGAGGGATGGATGAAGTGAAGGGTTAGTTCATAGAACCCCAAACCCAGGTTTGGGGAGAAGGTGGGGAAGACTCTGATGGCAGAAAGAACTGAAAAAGTGTGGAGGGGGAGTTTTTAGGGAGGACTCTAGGCCCTGGGAGAAGGGCTGGAAGACCCTGGATTCCTGGGAAGGAATGCGTGGGCTGGTGCACATGGGGGAAAGCTGAGGGGTAAGACCACTAGGCCCCTGGTCCCTCCTAGGAATGAGGGACGGGGCACCTCTCAAGAATTCTGGGAGAGTCCTGTGGAACCCGGTCCCTGGAGAGCTGGTCACTCATTTGCCCACACCGGGCCTAGACTGGGACCCAGCTGAAGAAGGTGCCTGGGCTGCTCAGAGCATCACTCCCAGAACTCTGGGTCTTGGACATCGACTGGACATGCAGGGCCACCTGGGAACACTGGGGTGTGTGCGGGAGGCAACAGGAGTGAGAATCAGGCCCTGTGCTCTCTCCAGGGGGAGGGGGGAGAGCAAGGAGGGACCACATTCAGCACAGGTTCACGTACACGATAAAGGCACAACCCAGGAGCACCCTGATGTCGATGTCAGCACTTTATTATCTTCAGCCCCGATCTGAGCGCCGCCTGGGCATCCAAAGGAACAGGAGCCTGGGAGGCAGGGTGGTGACTGTTCACTTAAAAGAACAGAAATGCGGGAATGCTGGCCGTCCTGGGCCCTTCCCCGTCAGCCCTCAACATCCCCCCTCGCCCCGCCATGTGGGGGCACCAAGGCAGCCAGGTGTGTGCCCAAGGTCACACCCAGAAGGGATGCTGAATTTACTGCCGTTGCATCTGACTAAACTCCTTTTCCCGAAGTTCACTCCTTTTGATCTTGCCAGTGACGGTTTTGGGCAGCTCAGGGACAAACTCCACCTGGGTGAGGAGAAAGCAAACCATCCTGAGTCCTGCTGTCACTTCCTAACAGTCCCCACTCCGCCCTTCACCCTGCAAGTCCCCCAAACAGGCTGCAGCAGGTGGTGGCCTCAATGGTGGGGCCAAGTATGTCAGGTCCTCCTCCTGAGCCCCTGAAGCTGGCTGCAGCCCGGTGACGTGCTCTGACCAATGAAATGTGGGGGAGTGAAGCATGCCACCTCTCATAGGAGAGTCGGAACCTCTGAGCCTGGCCACCCTCTCTGTCCCTCTCTGACCGCACCTGGCAGGTCCCTGCCTGGTGGCTGCTTCTCTACCTGGTCCCAGGAGACCAGGGTGGGCATGTGGCATGAGCCTTTCTTACGATAAGCCATGTGGTTGTGGGGCTCTTTGTTACAATAACATGGTTTCCCACATGGGGTACACGCCCTGCAGGGTGTCAATTTGATTTTAAGGGGAGCAATTGGAGAATGAGTTATCAACAGTGAATTTTTTCTATTTCTTATGGTTCTAGGGGCCTCATATACAGTATATACATATATTTTGTGTCATAGTTATGCATTTCAGTTCTCAATTATGTTTTAAAACTTTAGTTGCTATTTTTTCACATCACTTCATATCATTATTATTTTTAACAATTTCTTAGTGATTTCTTCTTCAGTACTTCAACTGTCCTTTTGTTCTTTTATTTTTCTCTTCCATGGGTGCCATGTCCTTTGGAAGCTTGTTTAGACCAAGTTAATGGCCTTTTAGTCTTCCTCCACATGAATAGGAATTCACATTTTGAATAATAAGAATTATACAACGGCATGGATGGAACTGGAGAGCATTATGCTAAGTGAAATAAGCCAGTTAATGAAGGAAAAATACCACATGATCTCACTCATTCCTGGATAATAAAGACCATTATAAACTTATGAACAAAAATAGATACAGAGGCAGAGCTGCCTCAAACAGACTGTCAAACTGCAGCGGGAAGGCCGGGGAGGGTAGGGGGGCAGAAGGGAGGGGAGGGGTAAGAGATCAACTGAAGGACTTATATGCATGTATATAAGCATAACCAATGGACTTGTGACATTAGCGGGTAGGGGAGGCCAGGGGATTGTCAAGAGTGGGGGAAAAAAGGAGACATATGTAATACCCTTTGTAATACTTTAAGCAATAAAAATAAATAAATAAATATAGATACGATTATATTAAAAAAAAAAAAAAGAATTATATGTCACTAGGGCAGCCATGGGCAAACCGGCCCGTTTGAAATGAATAAAACTAAAAAAAAAAAAAAAAGACTGTACCCTTTGATGTAATGATGTTTACTTTGAATTTATATTAGTTCACACAGACACTCCATCCATGCTTTTGTTCCGGCCCTCCTGTCCAGTTTAAGAACCCATTGTGGCCCTCGAGTCAAAGAGTTTGCCCACCCCTGTACTAGGGGGACCTCATGATTTTAGAGATGCTTAGATGGGGCATGGCCAAAAACGGTCCTAACTGGTACGCATCCCCTGTTCTATCTCTAGGAGGCAGCAGAACCTGACATTAATAGCAAGAATGCTGCTGCTGTTGGAGACAGATGGTTTGAGGTCCAGCTCTGCCTGTATTAAATCTATTCTCTGAGCCTCAATTTTAACTTCATAAAATACATGGTTAGACCATCTCAGGCTGTGGAGAGGTTTAAATGAAATAATACTGCTCATGAAGCATTGAATCCAGGGCCTGGCACATGAAGTAGATATTCAGTAACAACAACACAGCTTTACAATATGCACTGACTATAAACATTCAATGTAGGAAATGTTAACTGTTGGCATCGGTATCCTTTCAATCTTTGTTTTTAAACAAATACAATGATATTATGCATATTTTCTCATAGCCTGCTTTTTGTCTTAATAATATATTGTGGTACTATTATGTTAAAAATAAAAATCTACATCATTTTCAACTACAGGATAATATTACTTTTAACACATCATTCAATAATTTCTCTATTGGACATTTTTGTTATTTTCACACAATAGTTAAAACAAATGCAGCCCTGGAGGCCTGGCTCAGTGGTTGGAGTGTGGGCCCACACAGCGAAGGGTCGCAGGTTTGATTCCAGATCAAGGGCATGTACCTGGATTGCAGTTTCCATCCCAGGCCCCAGTTGCGGTGTGTACAGGAGGCAGCCGATTGATGTGTCTCTCTGCATCACCCCATCTCTCTCTCTCTAAAATCAATGGAAAAACATATCTTCAGGCGAGGAAATGAATGAAGTAGGAGCAAGGAAAGGGCTGGCTGGGTGCCCAAGGACAGCAACTGAAGCCCTGGAGAGATAGATATCTCAGCTGTGCGGGGTGCCACTGAGAACTCTTCCCCAAGCTGGGCTCCCCAGCAGAGAGATCCTAACTGAGGGCACCCACATAACATCTGACTGTGAAAAGCAGTGGAGTGCTGTCTGTCAGGGAGTAACAGCTGAAAATTCAGGCACCCCCTTAAAGGGCCAATGCACAAAATTCACTGTGGAGCCACCCACCTTGTGCTCTGGCAGAGGGAGGGTGAAGTGGACTGGAGCTGTGAGAGCAGAACCCAGGACTGGGGACTCAGGGGAAAGAGCTCAGAAGGCAGATATGCCAAGTTTCCTGAGCTGAGTCATTCCCTCAAGGGGACACCATCCCCACATGGACATTTGCCCTGCCTGGAGGGATACAGTTGATACACCCTATTGGAAAACACCTTGCCATGAGGCCACTTAAGAGATTAAAAGTAACAATTAGCCTCTAGTCAGAAGCAACTGCCCCACCCTGTTGGATCTTATCAATAGACACAGACATAGATTCAACAAAATCCAATGCCCATTTTTTATAAAAACTCTCATCAAAGTGGGAATAGAGGGAGCATATCTCAACATGATAAAGGCACATATGACAAACCAGCAACAAATATCATACTCAATGGGCAAAAACTAAAACCCTTTCCCCTAAGAACAGGAACAAGACAGGGATGCCCACTTTCACCACTCCTATTTGACATAGTACTGGAAGTGCTAGCCATAGTGATCAGAAAAGAGGAAGAAATAAAAGACATCCAAATTGGAAAAAAAAAAAAAGAAGAAGTAAAACTGTCATTATTTGCAGATGATATGATATTGTACATAGAAAACCCTAAAGACTCCATCAAAAAACTACTCAACTTAATAAATGAATTCAGCAATGTAGCAGGACACAAAGTTAACACCCAGAAATCTATGGCTTTTTTATACACCAATAGAGGCCTGGTTCATGAAATTCATGCATTTGAGGGTGTCCCACAGCCCATCCTGTGCCCTCTCACAGTCCAGGAATGCTCAGGGAATGTCTGATAGTTGGGTTAGGCCCACTTGCCATGGGGAGCAGGCCTGAGCCAGCAGTTGGACATCCTTAGCACTACTGCAGAGGCAGAAGAGGTCACTTCACTGGCCAGCCATGAGCCCGGCTTCAGGCTGAATGGTGCTCCTGCATTGAGTATCTGCCCCCTGGTGGTCAGCGCCTGTCATAGCGACCGGTTGTTCTGTCGATTTGCATATTAGCCTTTTATTACATAGGATAATGAACTCACAGAAAGAGAAACTAAAAAATATCCCATTTACCATTGCAATAAAAAATTAAGATACCTAGGAATAAACTTAACTAACAAGGTAAAAGACCTGTACTCAGAAAACTACAGGACATTTTTTTAAAAAAGATAGAGGAAGACATAAACAAATGGAAGAATATACCATGTTCATGGATTGGTAGAATCAACATCATTAAAATGTCCATACTACCCAAAGAAATCTATATATCTATTCCATGCAACCCCCAGTAAGATACCAATGGAATATTTCACAGACCTAGAACAAACTCTCCAAAAATTCATATGGAATTTTAAAAAGACCCTGAATGGCCTCAACAATCCTGAGAAAGAAGATCAAAGTTGGAGGGATCACAATACCAAATATCCAGCTATATTACAAAGCCACTGTCCTCAAAACTGCATGGTACTTGCACAAGAACAGACATATAGTCCAATGGAAGCGAACAGAGAACCCAGAAATCAACCCAAGCCATTATGCCCAATTAATATTTGACAATAGAGGCAAGAGTATACAATGGAGAGACAAGATGGCGGCGGAATAGGCAGACGCATCCCAAGGTTTGTCCTGGAGCAATTAGAATGAGCAGCTGAAACAGATAACATCCACCCCCGAATTGGCTAAGTATACTTAGCTGGTGAGACAGTTTGCAGCTGGGAATGGCAGAGTTCCCCTGGAAAGGTAAAAACCAGGGACCTGGGCAGGAAAGTTTGCCAGATCTCTGAGCCCAGAGGGTCAGAGGGAGACCGCACAACACCCAGCCACCCTTGGGACAAGCACAGCCCCTGACTGGGGAAAGGAAATCTGCAAGACTGTTGGCGCCGGGGGATTTGAGATCTGGGTTCCATAATTACAGAGGACTGAACCTAAATGGGGGAGCCTGAAGGGCTGACCAGACCATGCAGTACCGGTAAGAGAGGAGCTTACAGAGACTCAGTCTTCCTCGTTTCTGCGGCCAGCATTTGTTTGTTTGTTTTCACTGAACCCTGTTCATAGGACATTTCAGATACAGACACTCACCCGTGCTGAGGAGCAGGAGAAGGTGTGGATGAGTGGAATCTGGGAAGAGGCTGGGGAGAGAAGGGAGTCCAGGAGAGGTGGCAGAAAATTGAGTGCTGAGTCGCGCCCAAGCTCAGGACTTGGGCAGCCATTTTCTCCTGAAGATATAACTCCTCCCTCCAGCCCCCAGGCAAGGAATACAGCCACACCCAGATTCCACCCTGAATGGTGGTCACG